TTGGATTAGGGAAAATATCCCCCATTTTGGATCAGGGAAAATGTCACCCATCTTGGATTAAGGAAACTATCCGCCATCTTGGATTAGGGAAAATATCCCCCATTTTGGATCAGGGAAAATGTCACCCATCTTGGATTAAGGAAACTATCCGCCATCTTGGATTAGAAAAGGATATTAGAAAAGAGAAAATTTCGACATCTTGGATTAGGAAAACTGTTCGCCATCTTTGGATTAGGAAAACTGTAGAAAACATCCTGGATTAGGGGAAGTAAGCCATCTTGTATTAGGGAAAGTGCGCCATCTTGGATTTGGGAAAGAACCAAGTAATAAGTACCAAGCACCACCACCTTGGATTAGAGAAACTATCCCCTTTCAAAGAAAATGGAAAGACGTCTTTGGATTAGGAGAACTGTTCGCCTTCAAAGATTAGGAAAATTCCGCCATCTTGAATTAGGAAAACTATGCGCCATCTTGGTTTAGGGAAATTCCACCATCTTGGATTAGGAAAACTGTTCGACATGCTGCATTAGGGGAAGTACGCCATCTTGGATTAAGGAAATTATCCGCTTTCTTAGAAAAGGGAAAATTAAACATCTTTTGCCAAAATCCATTACGGTCTGACAGTTTGACATATAGAATGACAAAAACGAGTCCGAGGAAGGATAACATTGTAAAATAATTAACATGATTATGGTTCTGAATTAAACCGAAATATTGTTGAACAACGTCTCGTTTATAATCCAAATTTTGGATTTCACGATGTTATCCTTCCTCGGACTCGTTTTTGTCATTCTAAACATCTTTGGATTTGGAGAACTCTTCGACATCCTGGATTAGGAAAATTCCGCCATCTTGAATTAGGACAAATATCCGCCATCTTGGTTTAGGGAATTTCCGCCATCTTGGATTAGGGAAATTCCGCCATCTTGCATAAGTGAAACTGTCCACCATTTTGGATAAGGGACAATATGCTCAAATCGAGTAGAAAAACAATTTGTTATTTTGAATTTGAGAACTGTCCGAAGTCATGGATGAGGGGAACTGTCCGTCATCTTGGACTAGGGAAAAGTACGCCATCTTTCTGTCCACATTCTTGGATAAGAAATAGAGAGCATTCTGGCCGTGAAGGTAAATTGTATAAAATTTATATACACGGGATGTCTCGACTTTTTTTAGAAACATGACGGCGCACACTTTTTTTTCTATTTTGAAGTGTTGATTTCATACATTTGGAATATGGCTTATCAAATTTTCGTTGTTATATCATCTGTTATAATTTCAAACCCTTCTTATAATTGATATTTCTGGAAAATAAATTAGACTACCAATCCATTCCAAAGAGAGAACCATCTTTCATAAACCAATGAAGTATACTTTACAATACTATACAGCTTTATTGCTCTTTATTTTACACGTTGTTCTCGATCTTTGCGGTACATTAAACTACGCAGTATACTTTGTATATCGCATCAGTGTTGTTTCACGGACTATTGACAATCATTCACATTSCATTGTAAGTGTTTGTTGTGCACGTTTTTCTGGGTCATGTGAGTGTCTTTCATAACTTTTTACACTTGGGTTTTTACCTTTGTTTCACGGTTTATCTAAATCATCCTTTAACTTTAGTATATAGCAAACATTTATGTTTCACAGGCTGCTAATACCACTAGTCAATATATCGAAACTTTTTTCATGTCAAATGAGAATTCTAAACACACACGTATCTTTTTCTCMTGCCAAGTTTCTTTGTCAATACAATTGGATTCCCGCCAGCAATGACTGGCATTTTGAATATTGYCTTTTGCCTATACGCAACTCCAGTGTGATTTCAAAGACGAATTCTTTGAACTAATCGATCATAATGCTAAGAATAGAGTCGGTCTTTGAGGTGGATTCATTGAGACTTACAAGGACGTAATTCAAGCATCATAATAGATTTGACGAGGTATTTATGATTCATCCTTTTAGATGAAAGATTTGAAAATGGCGACGTGTGTTCGGGGGACGAAAGTAACTTCTTTTTGGGATTTAAGTAGTTTTAAAAACCCTTGAAGAGCTGTATTATTTGTATTTTTATATATTGATGAATTTCTAGATTTTTTCCAAAGACATCTAATGTTTTGCTGTTAGTTTAACAATAATAGCATAGTAATAGTAAAAAGGTATATTTTCTTAATCTCATTTCTTTCAAATATACTTTAGAACCTCGATATAGATGGAGGCACTTTAAAAATGGCTTCCTAACATTCAATAGTATTTTAAGAAATGCCAAGTATTTCAACAACGCTTATTACAAWTTTTTAGAAAAGTAACTTTATTTAGTTTAAATGTTAGTTAAATGAGGAATGAATGAATTGGATTTATCTTCGAATCTTATCAATCGAGCTTAACGGACGTACGGTAAGTTGAACAAACATCGAACTTAATTTTTATCATTTCAAAATCAAGTTCRTGTTTTTTAAAAGTGTCAAAGAAATTGTTTTGAGACATTTGCATCAGGAGCGACACTTAATCCATACTTATCTTTGACTATAATACCAACTTGAATATTTTCCAATGCTCTTCAATAGGGCGACTTTTAAGCGCCGTTTACACGAGCAATTTTTCCTTGACAAGTTTTCCTTGACAAGGAAAAATTGCTCGTGTAAATGGGGCAAAATTGACAATTTTTCCTTGTCAAGGAAAAGCCAACATGTTCGCTTTTCCTTGACATCAAGGAAAAATTGTCAAGGACGAAATTTGCTCGTGTAAATGGACAACAAGGAAAATGTGGCTAGGAAAAATTGTCAAGTAAAACTTGTTGATCATTTACACGGGCAATGTTTCCTTGTCAAGGAAAACTTGTTCTTCGTTTACACGAGCAAAGAAACATTGTCAAGGAGGAATTGTCAAGGAAAACTTGTTGACCATTTACACGGACAATTTTATTGTCAAGGAAAACTTGTTGACCATTTACACGGACAATTTTTCCTTGTCAAGAAACTTGTCAAGGAAAAATTGCTCGTGTAAACGGCGCTTTACTGAATCATTTCTATTCCTTTTTTTTTCTATTGTCTGAACCACATTGCTTAAAGCCATTGATCGCTATTTCGTTAATGCTTTTTCACGCTTTTTGCATTTTCACTCTTCTTATGTACATTGCCTTGATTCTCTACATCCGTTCCTAAAACATGCCAAATCCAGTTCACCAGCTTTCTTCAAGCTATAATCCGCATCCCTTTTTTCCAACATTCATCCCATCTTTCTCTCCCCCTCGTCTACTACTGTTCCTACGTACAAAATATTCTTTAACATCTTGAGCTTGATCTTCTCTTTCTACAACTGTCTCGWTACTCCTAGCTTGCACAGTTCTCAAGAAGCTTTCATACACAGTTTCAGTCCCACTCTTGCAGACTTTTGTATTCGTCGGTGTTCTTATTCAAGTCACTCAACTTGGAAGCCCTCAGTACAGTCAAGGGCGGGTCCAGCGGTGGTGATTAGGGAGTACAGCAAACCCACTTTTTGATCTTAAAAATATCAAAATAGAAATTTGATATAAAAAGAAAAATACATTAAATCACTGGAAAAAATCTCGCGCCATAAAGGTTGTAAATTTGATGGAAATATGATGTAAGTGTCCAAAATGATGTAAATTTGATGGAAATGATTTACATCAAATTTACATCATTTTGGACACTTACATCATATATACATCAAATTTACAACCTTTTAAGCGTGCGATTTTTTCCAGTGAAATCTCAAAGAGACTTATTCTGAAAGACTATTGATAAAAAAGAAAATTTGATCTTCTGAATCACTAATTCTGCCATAAATATCTCCCACCATTCGATTCGTCASAGAGAATGTCTTCCGCAAGGTTAACTTCATTTTGTGGGGTCCTTTKTTTTCTGATCACATTTCGACGTCGCCTGTGTACCTGGAATGAARTCTGTGCGTCAAATGTATTTTGATCAGTGTTTTTGAATCTTAGCTTTTATCTAAGCTGTTGTTTATTTAGCGATCGATTGAAAATCACTTCAAGACCAGCAAACAAAAGAACGACTATTTAAGATTGTCAAAGTGYCTTGGAATTTTATTTTATTCTATCGAAAATTTCTCTTTGAATAGTTTCAAGAGTTTTTGTAACCATTGAAGAATATTTGATTTTCACTTTGTCGTCGTGCGGGATAATTAACATGTTTCTTTAAGTCTTTTCAGTAGGCCAAATTATTTGTTAATTTACATTGTTCAGTAATAACAAAGATACAAGAAGCTGGAAAGAAAATATTTGTGAACCATTCAAATGTCATTAAGGTTACCTGTAATCTTTTAAAAAAATAAAAATAATAGATAATAGTGAAACTTTTATTCAGTAACTACATATTGATCAAAACCAAACCAACGATTCGAGTATATTTTTGAAGGAATATATTGTTGAGAATAGAATAAAAAATGATATCAGAAGAGAAAAAATAAAGGAAGAAAAAAAAAATACACGAGAAAAAAAACTGAAGAGCAAATAAACCAAAATGAAGTTWAAACTAAAAGAAAAGAARATATTTAAAAAGTTGCGAGTTTGAAAGACTGAAAAACTGGTGGTTTTTGTACTATGGTGCCTAAAATGAAAATGAAGGCTASAAACAAATAGATTTACTTTATCCAGGCGATTCTAGCAATGTCTTTAAAATTCTTTGTTAATAACTCCTTTACTAGATTTTAGATTGTTGTCGTTAAAAACAGCCAAAGCTCAAGTTATATATTTTTTTGTGATTCCAGGAAAGTAAACAACCAAAAGTGGAGTGAAATATCTTTGTGAGAAATCTGGAAATTATTTCCTCTTGATGAGAATAGGATTTTTTTCTTARTATTGACTTCATTTGAAGCAAAAATTATGTCTAGTTCATCTCTTTGTTTCTAGTTGTTTCCGTTCGGCCAATCAAAAGTGACYGAGCAAACACAGGTGCAAAAGTCAAAAACCAACTTCGTAATTCTCACCGGTGATCACACATCACAAAACTGAGATATTTTTGAATATTGTTTAAGGATTTTGGATGAAATATGAAAGTTTTCTAGCCAARGGAACGACAAATTTTGAAGCTATTTCAAGGTGTGTTTGGGAATGCGAGAGAAGCCCCACACGATCTAGGTAAGGTGTTATAMGTTCGGAGTTCTCCGGGTTGCTAACTCTATTCTGCACTAAACAAATAATAACTATTTTGGATTAGTGTTTTAACAGCTTATAGTCAACTTTTCAATTGCAATTGCGAAGAATTCAACCCGGAAATTTCACTCACTCAAAAAACAGTTTGAAGAGATGATTGAGAGAACTTTTACCTTAAGTTCAAAATATCAACAACGAAAACAAATTCTTGCGACATGACTTGGGTTGAACAGTTCCTTCAATAAATCATTTCATTTTGACTGATATAGAAAAAAAAAATTCGCGGCGAAATCTGATAAATTTGATTTGATGTTTTTTRAAGTTTTGAAGCCCCGAAGTTTCCAGTAAAAATTCACAAAAAATCCGCTCGATTCGACGCCATAGAGATCAGTCATGTACAAAAATTTCGATAGATTTATCGCTTATGATTGCGTTTTCAATCAAAGAGATGAATCTTGAWACTTATGATTTATTTTCGTCAATTCCGTTATATTTACCTACTAAATCATTTTCAGTAATAACTGAGAATTATATTATTTTTGTCTTTTTCAATGTTGATCGATTTTCTAAGACTACAAGATCTTGCCGGATTTGCTAGCTTAGACAGCTATCAATTTAACTGATAAATAAGTTTTCAAATTWAATGTTTCCAAAATTAAAATTTTGCTCATCTTATGTATTGTTAATATTGACTTTGATCCATTAAACGTTGCCACKATTTTATTGGAACAAAAAATAATGTCTCACGCATATAACTGTAAACCMCATCATTTCTACTGATTATGAATATCATTGCTACTTGAGAAAATAATAGTTATTCCAGTATCAATTTATATGTTGATTACTCAAATTCTCAAAAATGACTGAACTTTAAACGCGAAAAGAGATCAATACYGCACAGAAGTGGAAGTTAAAATTACTCATTAAGCTAGKTGACTTCTACCGKTGCTTCTCATGGCAAAGTTGCTTGAAAAGTCTAAATTATTCACTGTAAGAAAATAGAAAACTTCAGACTTTGGTCCTTCATCAGTTTATAATCATGTTTATTCACAGCAAATATCCACACAGAAATACGTATCTTATAATCTAAGTTCAGTTTGTAAGTTATTACTATTAGAATATCTTTTCTCTTGCGTGTCTTTTTATGATTATAAGACATAACGCATGAAAAAGATGTAAAAAATAAACCGAAAATACCTTCTTAAGTGGATTCTCTCTAAATCGACTAATCAATTATTAATCACTTTCTTATTTCTCGCTTCTTCAGAAAAATCTAAAAGTCCAAACTTTAATATATTCTAATAATCTTTTCTCGTAACGCATTTTTTTTWAAATTTCAAAATCAAAAGTTTGTTTTGTTTAGCTTCAGAAGGGATTGAGAAAAATTCGTTTAAAACTTAAATATGTTTGAAATTATTTTAATGGCTTAAAAGAAAACTCTTAAGCGTGGGACGACGTGTCAGGACGAACATCAAATCCAATGGATTGTTTACAAAATTAAATACGTCCATTTCAATCATCTATTCAAATCGTATCACAAACAAAGAAAGGGGGTATTTTCCGTTGAATCCGTTTCGTGTGAGGTTCGACGTTGGGGCGTGTCCTGAGCCCCGTAAAKCGAGAACAAAAGCAACGTTGATTGGTGTCTGATACGAATTCTTTCGCCTATAGAACTTGTGCTGGGTCACGTACTAGTAAAATTCAAAGACTCAGAAACAAAASCAATATTAATTGGTGSGGTTTAACTGTAGMATATTCGGTCACGTACGTAGCAATAGATCRTATCAGCATTTTGTCCTGGACCGTAAGTTCGCCGACCCAAACGATAGATGTTAGATCGGCCACCAACAGCAAAACATTTTTTAGGGACCTATTATTCTTGGATCATTCAAGAAATTCTTGGGTGGCCAAACACCAGGGGACTGCAATAATTCTCCATCCAACACTAAAAACCTAAGATTCTTGGAACATCCAAGAAATTATTTGGGTAGCCAAACATCGGGGGACTGCAATAATTCTCCATCCAACACTTAAAACAACTTAGGTGGTCAAAGTCCAAAATATTGGCTGCACAATAATCTTTGATAGTGTTCTGGGCCGGGCTGTTTAAAGCCCGATTAATCCTAGGTCAACTCTTAAAAAACCTATGGAGTTAACCTTGAATTAACACTAATCGGGCTTTGAAGAACCGTGTGATTCAACGTGTGATTCAACATTTGTATTTCGGACAGGGTTTGCTGGCCATCAAGCAATCTTCGACAATTCAGCATTTTTCAATATTTAGTCAGCTTGTTCGATATAGTATTGGATGTTACATCAGGGGCGGATCCAGGATTTTCCTCAGGGAGGGGTGCGGGACTCTGAGGAAGGGGGTGCACCCAACAAAAATCATTACCATGAAGATACAAAATAAGGAAAGTATTGAAGGATATCAGATCTCAGGAGGGGGTGTGTCAGACGAGAAATGTTGGACCATTCAACACCATCAAGGAGCATTTTGCGAAGCTACATGTTCCCTTTTAGACAACTTGTTTAATGGCTTTAGATGTTGATGGACGGGCCACAATCATGCTTGGGGGACAATAGACAACTTGTTTAATGGCTTTAGATGTTGATGGATGGGCCACAGTCATGCTTGAGGGCCAATAGACAACTTGTTTAATGGCTTTAGATGTTGATGGATGGGGCACAATCATGCTTGAGGGCCAAGTCTGGAGGCGATTGGCCAATTCGACAATGTCGGGTCGTTCAACATTATGGGGTGGTGTTCTTAACTTTGTAGGGTGGTGTTCGGTCTTATATCGTCGTGGTCGAATATCCAATTGGGTCTGTGATGATATTTCTTGAGGCCGCCTGCCGATGTTTTTTTTTTATTAAAAAAAATATTTATACACAACTATTAAAAAAAGTTCTGAAAATAGAATACAAAATTGACGTCTATAAACTCATTTTCAAAACTTTTTTTCCTCAATACTGGTTGTCAATCGTTCCATTAACTCTTGAATTCCATTCTTTCTGTCATCTTAATGATTTAATTAATTGATTTTTTTTAGAAAATCGTTCAAGTCGTTGTC